CGATGGTAGAGTCTCTGTCAGGCAGAGATGTAGAACGTGCAAAAGATCTGTCCTTTGATGTCTTGGAGCAGTTGGGCCATGGCATCATGCGAGACGGGAAAAAGCTGACTATGCATCTCAAGCTGAACCTTGTGAAATCTCACGACAGGAATCTAGATCCCAACATAGTGTCACGACTCCCAATGATGACAGATGAGAATGCTATTGCTGCAATGAAAGTCCTTTCTCCTATGATATCCTTGACTTATGCAACGAACAAGAAAGAACTGGCCTCAGTAACTTCGAAAATGGTCGCTCTTGTCAACAAGTACGGTGTATGTAGTGAGGCAGCTAATGCATTTGGAATCAGGGGAGCCTTCTCCAGTAACCTTAAAGTGATTGAAGCTCATGCAAAGTGTGCTCACATGATAATGGATCAGTCCAAGGATCGCTATGCCAAAGTGGCAACAAAAGTATACATATTTTGCCTCTTCAGCTTTACCCGGGACATCCGATGGGTTCAGAAGACTTTCTTTGAGAACTATCATTACGGCTTGCAAGTTGGAGACATTCAAATGTCGATCTACTCGTACATGATGGGACTGTACTACGAGCTCATGTGCGGGCGTTCGCTTGTGACTGTCACGGAAGAAACGAGAGAGACCATGGCACATCTCAAAGCGATGAATCGTGACTCCCAAATGGACCTACTGTCTGTTCTATTTCAAAGTATGCTGAACATGAAAGGGGAAGCAGAAGATCCTTTGGTACTCAAGGGAGAAGCCATGGACGAGACAGCATTGGATCCTGCCTCGATAACTTCTTGGAACGATGCCTTGATAATTGGGTACAAAGGTGTTCTTAATGCGTATTGCGGCAGTCATCAAGCCAACGCTGAAGAGATTCTTGAAAAGATGCCCTTTGTGAGAGATGAAGTTGGTGCCGATGCAATCATAATGTGGCTTGATATCTATGTCGCTGTGTCTTGTTTGCACTGCGCCCGTTCCAGAGGCAAGCGATCAGGAAAGTACCGAAAGCATGGTCAGAATATTAGCAAGACGGTCAAGACATGGATTGCCCAAGGATGTCCAAACTTTTTACACCTTGACTACCTTCTGGATGCAGAGTTGGCTGTGTTGAAAGGTGATTTCAAAAAGGCTTGCAAATACTACAAGCTGTCGATCAAGATCGGAGAGAAAATGGGTCGGGTGAACGATGCTGGGTTAGCATCGGAGCGGCTTGGGGAGTATTTGCTTGAAAAGAAGGACAAAGGCGGTGCTCGGAAGGCTCTGCTGCGGTCGATCGAATTCTACAAGCTGTGGGCATCTGATTACAAAGTAGAATCGGTCCGTTCTATGTACGAAGAGGTTCTCCGCCCTGCCAGTGTCATTCAACAGTGAGCTTGAGATTGACTTTCACCAAGCTTTATAGCAATTTGATGAATGGAGAATCAAGACGAGACGATCGTCAAGAACTCTCTTCAAGGCTCGGTTTTTTTCTTCTACCAGTGCGATTTTATTATTATTTTTGCTTCGTGTATTTAAAGTAATATTATTATTTCATTTTTCATTTTTCAGAGAAGTATTCTATAGGAATAGGTGGTCTTGAACAGCTGATTTGCTATCGAAGCGTAGGATAGACTCTTCACCTGCTTTATGAAAGACGACAATGTAACCTGTACAGTACGAGGGGGCGACCATGATTTTACCATAAGTCCACCACAAACTCGTTGACTTCAATGTTCAACACCACGAAGTCTTTCATAGTTGTCAAGACCAAAGTGCCTATAGTTCCAACCGCAGACTCCCTACACAGTCAAACAAAAGCGACAATTTAGATCCCAACTATCCAATTTACCGCAGCAACACTGATTTTGGGATTGGAGCTTTGGAATTGTTTAGGTGGTGCAAGGGTGTGGAGATCATCAGTAGATTTAGTGAGATCCAGAACACTAGATTGGATACTTTGGAGTCAAGAGTCCGTGAGATGCAGATTGCTACAAAGGACTTGAAGTAGTCTAGTGACTACATAAAGAATTTGCTTGAGCTATCAATGCGAACTCTTTGCGATCACATTCTGCCTGGAATTATCAGGATGAAGGAAGAGTTCTTTGAGGACCCAAGACAATTGTTGGCTCAACAAGTAGAGTCTCTAGAAAATGTCCATGCTCCCTTGGCATTGGGGGTACCGGTCTCTTTGAGTCGGTAGACACGAGTAAACTAGTAGTGATTGAAAATTCTGAAGAACAAAAAACTATCCTTGCAAGGATAGGGGGCTCGAGAAAAAGAATGCGTCTCTGAAACAAGAGATAGCTGAGTTGGAGTCAAGAGTAACAACTCAACAAGAGCGCATGGTACCACTCCCACCATTGATCTTGGATTCCTTGTCAAGTCTTCAGGAGCGATTGGCCAACTGGGAACTGAAGGCTCAGAAGGGTAAAGGAAGTCACCGTGGTAGGTTGTGAGTTTGGCGGAGTCCAGGATTGTAAGCGTTTCTTGTATACAGGATGGATTTGGACAGCTCATCAGTGTGGTTTATTTGGCATGATGTGGTTAACTGTGTGACAAAGGAAGGGAAAGCATCAACCATTGATGATGTAACGCAATCAGAGGGGGTTTTGATAACATGCTGATGGCATCTTTGTATGCATCCATGCAAAAGGCCATCCCAATACCCCTAGCTGGTACCAGCAGCCGTCACCCTTTACCAAGGATCAGTTCTTTTGAGAAATGGGACAGGCGGTATGGCAGACAAGGAATTTGATTTGAGATATCTCAAGGGGTGGACCAAGAGGTCTCAAAAACTATTGGTTGGCTGATTAGACCAATGAGCCCCCGTCATCAGGATGCCTTGGCGGTCTTAACCACCCTCACTATGGATGCAAGGAACCATTGGTTGGCTATTGCCAATTTCCTCACAAGTCAAAGAGCAATTTGCCTTTGGCAGTGTGAAGATGCAGAAGATTCCCATGCAAAGTCATAAAAGCTGTATTCATGGAACTGCATCGGGTTTGGAGTATGGGTTCAATGAGACCTAGTTTGAAGAAGTTATCAATACATGATGGCTGCTGCAGGGATGATGTGGGGTATATTACAATACCACAAACTCATGAACAAGGTTGTTAGTCACAAATTTTTGGGACACCCGAAACTCTTGATATACTCATTGAATCATTGGTCTCGTCTCAAAGTGAGCCTGAAGGATCTGGAACCAATGAAGAAACAGGCAGATCAGCTTCAGATGGAAATGGGTGCTATGCTGGAGGAACTCGACAAGAAGGAGGATAAACTAGGGGACAATGATGTCGTTTGAGTGTATCTAAGGTTTGGAGATCATGCTGGAGGAATCTACAATTTGGAGATCGGAGACGGAGATGTCAGCAAGCCACGCAACAGCAATCAGGATGAGCATTCCGACAATTTGTGAATGCTCGTTCTTGTTCTGAACCCTCTCAAGCTTTTCCTGTGGAGTTTGAAGATTCCAAGACCGGACACCAACAACGACGAGATGGATTAGGAACTCATCAAGTCTACTGGCTCGTTTTTGTATGGTAACGTGCCGGACCTTCGGCGGAGGAGCTTTGGTGAATGTGTATTACCTCTTTGATACTTCCAATCACATTCACAAACCATACAATACAGAAATTGGAATTCACGCAAATCGCTTGAAAACTCTATTTATGTATCACGATATGCTTGCATCGCCCGTTGCATCAAGAACCACCTCTGAAGTTGAATGGAGAATCAAGTGGATGTAAGGACGCCTGGTGACTTTTAGTGTATGATCAATCGACTGGCTCTGATCATAGAAGGGAAGAGTGTAATGACCTTGGAGTGACCTTGGAACTAGATTAGTTCCTTTGGAGGTACAGACATAGCTTTAGGCCTAACTCTCATGTCACTCCTTTCTGTGGCTTTTTGAGAGACTCTATAACTTTTGTTGTGACCCATTCCTATCTCTTCTTCTAGGATGGTTCACTATTCAAATTGTGAGATTTTTATGATCAGTAAAAATAGTTAATTTGGCTCCATACACCATAGATCGAAACTCTTTCAAACCATGTACAACAGCCAACATTTCTTTTTCCATCACAGAGTAATTTCTTTGTGCAGCTATCAATATTCGTTAATTCTTTATCACAGATCAAGTTGAGAAAGGAAATGTTAAGATCAAATACTGTCCAACTGACAATATGATTGCGGATTTTATGACTAAGCCATTGCAAGGTGAGAAGTTTCGCAAGTTCAGAGATCTGATTCTTGGTCCACAGGAATAGGTCAGACAAGTATGTGTATGTTCAAATGAAAATACAAAACAAAATAAGCAGTGAATGAGAGCATGTCCCATTGCTGCCAATGGTGATTGTCACAATGGCAGGAGTGTGTTGGGATATGACGAAGTATGAGTTTTTACGTTCCAAAAGAAACTATTCAAGTACGAAGTTTCCGACACGTGCGATCGGACTTTGATCGTGATGTCGGGATTCGACGCAAGTCTGCCGGACAAGCAAGTCTGCCGGACAATCTATATCCACACAAAAAGGGAAAGACCCTATACAAGTGGAATATCGATGTTGTGTACGATGCAGTAGGGAATAATACAAGATGTCCCAAAGTACTGCATTCAACACAGAATCCTGGTAGAAGTCAAATCGAGATCTGTAAACAAGGAATTTTCCAAGGGAAAATCGTCGAACTCACTTTTGTGATTGAATCATCAATTCAAGCCAAACATTAATCAAATAGGAACAATTTCACTCAAAGTATACCTAACACAGGAGAACTATTGTCGTGAAAGTGTTGTACAGTCGATTACAAATTTAGATTGCAGAGAGTTTGTTCTGAGCGCTAGAGGCACTCACGATAGAGCACATTTTGCTTTATTCTAACATTAGAGAATTTGAATTCAACGCGTTGACTTGTATTGATCCCGTGACAAATCTCACTGAACTTGCTTTTATCGAGAATCAAACTGCAGCACACGTGGCAAACGTGTTTGTCGCAATATCCAAGACCATACAAATGTATTTCATTGGTGAAGCTTTTCAAGCGAAAATTGCTACTTGGGGAATCCATGATGGCGGAACCACTAGCAAGTATGCGACTGCAAATGCAATCTGTGAACGAATGCATTTGACCGTGGCCAGCATTTTGCGAACCAGATACAACAATGCTGCTCCAAACTTTCAAGTCGCTGTTGAAGAAATCAAGCGAGCTCTTGCTGCTTGCAATCATGCAATGAGATGTGCTGTATCAACAGCATTGATGAACAATACTCCTGGTGAGACTGTGTTTCATCGTGACATGCTACGAAACATTCCTCTAATTGTCGATCTACTTTCTATGCAGCAAAAGAGACAGTACAAGAAAACTTGAGGAGACAGAACGAGCAAAAAGAATTTGATTACAGAAATGGTGGAGAAGTTTTGATCAAGAATACTGATGGAAGGAAGTTGGATACGAAATACAGAGGTCCGTATCCTATTACAAATGTTGACACTAATGCTACAGTGGAAATTCAGTGCACAGATGCAATCCGTGAAAGGATCAACATCAGACGGCTTGTGCCGTTTTGTCAAGTCTAATGGACGATATGCTTGCATTGCCCATTGCGTCAAGAACCACCTCTGAAGTTGCATGGAGAATCAAGTGGATGTAAGGACGCCTGGTGACTTTTAGTGTATGATCAATCGGCTGGCTCTGATCATAGAAGGGAAGAGTGTAATGACCTATGGGTGACCTTGGAACTAGATTAGATCCTTTGGAGGTACAGAAATAGCCTTAGGCCTAACTCTCACGTCACTCCTTTCTGTGGCTTTCTGAGAGAATCTATAACTTTTGTTGCGATTGCTCATCCTTCTCAATCGCTTTGGATTTCGCAGACTCCCATTGGGCCTAAAAGAATTTCAATGATGTTTTTGGGCTGACAGTTGTTACTAGCTGTTGGCCCCCAATCCCCCAGCACAAGCGCTGGTTTCCTCCAAGGGTGAGGTGGGACTAGGGTAATCTTAATAACTATCTATTGCTAGACTTCAAATTCACTCTGTCAAATACAGAGCAGTCTTTTCAAAAGAAATGAGCTGCAACTGAGCTGCAGCTCATTCACCAACTTCTTTTACAACCTCTTTGGTATGTAGCTTTCCACTGTCCTGCTACTGTACCTTCTTTGCATACGTACTTCGGCATTCCGATCAGTCCGTCCTTCGCTAGCCAACACCTGCAGCGATTGCTCATCCTTCTCAATCGCTTTGGATTTCGCAGACTCCAATTGGGCCTAAAAGAGTTTCAATGATGTTTTTGGGCTGACAGTTGTTACTAGCTGTTGGCCCCCAATCATCCCCCAGCGCAAGCGCTGGTTTCCTCCATTTGGCCATCTTGTTGCCGTCCAGGGTGTGGTGGGTGAAAAAAAACGCTAGTGCCCGACGTGATCAACAAGAACATCGGTCAAGCGTTGCATCAAAGGCTCGGACTGGGTGTGAAGATACCAAAAAACTTCATCGGAGCGCCACCGACCAAGTAGTTTGATGAGACTAGTCGGGATATTGCCTTCAAGAAGCGCGGTAGCCCCGGTGCATCAAAGAGCACTGATTGTGGGAGGTCAATCGACCTCCACGGAGAGAGCAACTGCTCTCAAATATTTTGTCATCATTTGATCTGTGACATTGCAAGGGACTCCAAACTCGGAGTAGTAGGTGAACAGGGGGGTGTCGCCAGTCGTGTGTTGACTCTGTTGAAGGTGTCGGACAATGGCAATCAGCGTAGCTGTTGGGTTGTCAGCATTAAATGACGTGCCCAAACCAATCTTTTCGTCTGGCACCGCATTTTTTGGTTTTTCAAATATCAGACCGGCGAATGTCACAAGTGACGTGTCCAGGAGGCGAAGGGGAATGACGTCGCCACGAAATTCTGCGTCGTTGATACAAAAAAACACTTGCTTCAACTTGAAGGGAAATTGCGTTCCCGCTTTTGACAGAAATTCGCCAGGACGTAACAAAAAGGAAAACCCCAACCACATCAATCGATTCATTGCCTTTGCGGCATGTGTACTTGTGGGTTTTGTGGCGAGCTTTGATGCTTGCCTTAACAAGGACTTTGGCAATGGGTGTACTCGTTGTGCTGCTGGATCCTCTTTCTTCCAACTTTTCAGCAGCCGTGTCCAAGGAAAGTTCATTGTGCCTGGTGCATATCGGTTCATCCTCGGATAGAGCAGTCCCAATGAGGAAAAGGCCTGGCCCACCTGGCGCATGGCATCTTCAGCCGTTCGACCCCGGACCTGTCTCTTTCTGGGGGCAATTTTTCCACGTCGCCATTGGGTTCCAAAGAGGAGGATGATGAGCAAGGGATCGTCGACCGCTGACAATCCTGGGTCGAGGGTGAGGCTGTCGCAGAAGGCAACACATGTGGTCCAGACAGAGTGTGCCTTTGCAACTCTTGAAGGACAGACTCCGCGTTCGATTCTGAGTTCAATAGCACGGATGTCATCAAGGAGTTCACGGCGTTCAGCATCCTGTACAGTTGCCAAGAGTTGATCTGTGGATACGTGCGATTAAAATATGAGATAAATTCGGCGTCAGACAGGTGCCACAGTCGGCTAGCATCGTCGGCCATTCGATTGTTCGTTCCAGATAA